GACACTAAAAAAATACGCGATTCACACGCTTGCACCAGGTTTGTATTAGGCACTCGGATATTCCTCCACAAAGGGAACACCATATGTTAACACTGATCATACATACCTACGTAGGCATAATAAATGGCTACGGCACATATCGCCCCCCGTAGTACTTTGCTAGCAGAGAAGCGCACCATGCCAGTAATACACAGACGCGGACAACTCCCCTCTTAGATATATGGGCCAGCCTAAACCAAGCGAATAGTGCATGTGAGGTATCTCCTATTCATCTACCTATTGTTTCCCTCTAGAGATATAACCTGCAATTCGTTTTGCAAATATACCGGACGTGTGAACGTTTGACTTGTTTGCTGGTAGTATGTAAATATGTATGTGGCATGTACTATGTAGTGTATATGATGCACTGCATACTTAAAGCTGAAGAGTGGGAGCTGGTAAGTAAACCACTCTATTTAGAAAAAGAGATCCCTCTCTTGTGAAATATTTATTTTCCCCTCCGCCTTCCCCTCGTCCCCTTCAAGGCTTCATCTGAATTCATTAGCTGATATTGTAGCGATTCTATTGGCTGATGGTTTAACAATACTATTACCGCTTATCTATTGGTCTACTAGATAGCAATCGTCTTTCATCCATCAGTACTACGCATAGTTCGTAGCCACGAACCTATCCAAACCTTTATATTTATCTGCCCTTCCAATGTACATAGACAATTCATCAGCCACGACTTCGATCATAGCCCTCTAAAAAGACATAGAAATGTCATAAATAGTTACTGACACTCTAGTAACTGACAAGTTCAACTGAACGGTATTTTTCATAGCCCTCTAAATCCAACATATTATCTCTTTTATAAATAGGAGACAGTTAGTTATGTACAATTGTACATACGGCTTTGGCATATTGTTGATTGTTGCTTGCGATTGACTCGTGCTAATAATAATATTTCAAGGACCACACCCTGTTTTTGTGTTTTTGTGTTTTTTTGGCCCTCTTTTGACCCACTCCTCCAAGTAGTTTAGTAGCAGACGGTCATGAAAAACAGAAAAGTACCTTTTTTTTTTGGCATCTCCCCACAGAGTCACACAACCACACAGCGTGGCTCAGAGAGACCCAACAAGAATAACCCTAACCATGTTGACACGATATAGTGTGAACCTCATCCATCCGTAGAGTAAATATAATAAACCTATTTGTGTTTGAAGATATTTTATTACATTCCTTTTGTACAGGATATTTTACATTCCTTTTATGTTTATATGTATACACTTCCCAGCAGTATATTTACCAGAGCTGACATATGTGTGTGACGGAACGGCACGTTGCCTATGCTTGTACTATCAGACGATACTTTCATTGAGTTGTATGTCCATTCGTCGTATGTATCGTAGAGCATGTGTCCGCAACATCGGGCGAAAGGATCAGTTGCGGCAGACATTGAGAGCACCTGCTGCTCTGCATGTGGAGATGTGGCACAAATATGGTGCGTGTGCGTGAAGGTTGCGTACTGCACTCAATGTAAGGTATGTATAAATGCTCTTGGTTTTATGAATGCATTAATGCATAGGATACATATAATATACTATACACACACACACACGTATATATATATATATATATATATA